AGTCCTGTCCTTCACCAATAGGACTAACCCTAACACTATTTCTCTCGGGAGGCATGACAAAGTGACAGAAAACAACAAAAACAACCAGGAGAGCACAAGACTAAAAACCTAGCTGGTGATCAATCAAAACCAACCAGGCAGAGGTTATTTATCTGGGTTCTGTTTTGTTTGAGGGGTGGGAGGTTTCTAAGCCCATAGTCACCATGAGACTTATATGAGAAAAGGCATGCCATTCTATCCTCAAATAGCCCAAAGAGTTGGAGGGACAATTTACAACCTCTTGTGTAAAAAATGTCTATAAATGCCAGTGCCATTCTTTGCCCTGTCACTTCCCATTATCCTAAACCAACAGGATTCTATTCACTGAGACTTAAGCTAAAAACATGAATGGACAGGCCTTTCTTGGGCAGGCAAAAGAGGTTTTGTGTATAGTATAATATACTAATGGAATATCTAAACAGTTATACAAAAGTCAGCCTAGGAAGAATAGCTGAGATTCAGTGCCCTCAAATTTATAATACGGTCAAGCTATAAATCTAAAATATGAAGAGATGATCAAATTATGACAGTTAAAAAAGAAATCAGTCATAAATACTATTAATCCAAGATTCACTTCCTCTCACACACTTTCCCTTTAAAAAAATATTTTATTTATTTATTTATTTATTTATTTATTTTACAGAGAGGAAGGGAGAGGGATAGAGAGAAACATCTATGAGAGAAACATCGATCAGCTGCTTCCTGCACACCCCCTACTGGGATGTGCCCGCAACCAAGGTATATGCCCTTGACCGGAATCTAACCTGGGACCCTTCAGTCCGCAGGCCGATGCTCTATCCAGTGAGCCAAACCGGTTTCGGCACACTTTCCCTTTTTATCATACATCTACTGAAGAGAAATCAGCAAGCAATTGGGGCCTTAATCTGGATCAAGTAAACACAAATCCTGTGCAATGAAGATGACAGGAGGTGGGTTTCTCATTGTACTTTTTAGAATATTACGTATGATGAAGAGGCATCTCCACACCATCTACGAACTTACCAGTATTGCATGATCTCTATGTGAATGAGATCTGTGCCTGAAGAACTGTAAAACTTAAAACAAGTGTCTAAATTATGTAGGAGGATGTTATACTAGAATCAAGGACCCTAAAATAAGGTAGACAGAATGCTAATCTGGCTGTTCCATAAAAATAAACTTAATCATATCACTACCTTGGCCAACCAACCAAATACTAGGTAGAAAATAAACTCTGGTGATAAAGAACAGTTATGCATAAGACTGAAACAGTTAATTCTCACTGAGAATATATCCAGTTTGCAATCTCAGACTTCGGATATAGGACATTAAGTTCTACCGTAGGAAACAAGTTTTAAAAAAATAACACTTTCTTTTATCTTACTCCTTTTCCTCCAATCTATAGATTCAGTTTAAAACTGTTTATATCTAGCCTGGTCAGAATGTCTCAGTGGTTAAGCGTCCACCTATGAACTAGGAGGTCAGGGTTCGATTCCTGGGCAGGGCACATGCCCAGGTTGTGGGCTCCATGCCCAGTGTGGGCCATGTGCAGGAGGCAGCTAATAAATGATTCTCTCTTATCACTGATGTTTCTATCTCTCTCTCCCCTTCCCTTCCTCTCTGAAATAAATAAAAATGAAAAAATAATTAAAAATAAAACTATTTATATTCTACAAGTACTGAAAAATTTTGGACTACAAAAACAAAGATTCAATTTATGTGGTCTGGTAAAGGAGTTCTATGCTACTTCCAAGTATAAAAGCTGTGTGGGAGATATAAACTAGACTTGAGTAGTTTAATACCCACGTGGCTATTTAATTAAAAATTCAGTTCCTCAGTTACACTAGTTACATTTCTAGTGGTCAATAACCACATGTTGCTAATCACTACTATATTAGGTAACAGGTTATTAAGTAGGACAATATTCTATAGAATATTTCTATCATTACAGAAAGTTCTATTGGACAATAGTAGTCTAGACAACAAAATATCAACATTTCTAGGACACTTTAGTGTTTTATGGAGAAAATTAGAGCAAACTGTTAAAATGATGATTATGAAAATCAGGATTTATGATCAATGTATATGGAACTTATACTCAAAGAAAACATCTCAAAAAGTAACAACCTCCAAGCAAAGTGGCCCCTGGAAGAAATCATATACTCTATCAATAGAACAGTGCTATTCAAAACGTGGTCTGCCTCCTGGTGCTGGTCCCCAAACTGTTTGTTACAACTCTGCAGTTAAATCCAGAAACTGAGAGTGTTTAGAAACTTCCAGAGTAATTTAACATTACTGTGACATTTTAATTTTATTGTATTTTATAAAAGTACCACTCTGCAATAAACTGGAAATTTAAAAAAGCTAGTCTTTGCCCTGGCCGGTAGCTCAGTGGTTGGAACACCCTACACACAGAAGGGCTGAGGGTTTGATTCCTGGTCAAGAAAAAAAAAAAAAAAAAAAAAAGCTAGTCTTTGCCATAGACCTTGAGAGAAACACTACTCTAGAACATATGTGTGACAATGAATGTGATTAGAGAACATAGTTCATATAGTCAAGAGTTCTGCCAATTACTACTATCTGATTATAGCCCTTCAGAGATTTAAAATGAAAAATGAAATCTTACCAGTGATCAAAAACCATAGAACTGATTCAATTAAGCCAGCTGGCCAACAAAACTGAACTAGGAAGAAGAAAATAAACCAACAACAAAACAAAGAGGGAAGAAAACTAATATTTATTGAGATTGTCAAAGTGTCACTACATTAGGTAATTTCAAATATACAATTTATTCTTCACAAATAGTATTAGGTATTACTCCCATTAAAAAAATTTTTTTTGTTTTAATTAATCCTAACGCGAGGATTTTTTTTTTTTTAGGCTATTTTTTTCCATTGACTGTGAGAGAGAGAGAGGGAGGGAGGGAGGAAGGAAGGGAAAGAGATGGGGGGGCAAGGGGGGAAGGGAGGGAAAAGACAGGGGAGGTGGGGGGGGAGAAGGGGGAAGAGGAAGGGGAAAAGGGGGGGGGGGAACAAAGATGTGGGAGAGACACATCAATTGGCTGCCTGGTTGCCTCCTGCATGTGCCCCAACCAGGCAGGGGGCTGAACCTGCAACCCAAGTACATGCCCTTGACCGGAAATTGAACCTGCAACCCTTCAGTGAATGGGCTGGTGCTCTAACCATTGAGATACCAGCCAGGGCATTACTCCCATTTTTATAGATGAGAATCAAATAAGTTTAATATTTTGCTCAAAGTCACAAAGTCAACTAAGATATCTCCTTCATGTTCTACTCATGGACTAGCAAAATCAGGTCAAATTGAACTGGCAAAATCAGGTCAAATATAGAGAAAGATTATAAGGAAAGGAAAAGAAAAGCTGATGTCCCTGTAATGAAATGCTAGCAAAATAACTCAGGTGTGGCTCAGTGGTTGAGTGTTGACCTATGAACCAGGAAGTCACAGTTCAATTCCCAGTCAGGGCACAGGCCTGGGTTGCAGGCTTGATCCCTAGTAGGGGGCATGCAGGAGGCAGAGCCAATCAATAATTCCCTCCCATGCAAAAACCGGCTTGGCTCAATGGATAGAGCATCGGCTTGGGACTGAAAGGTCCCGGGTTCGATTCCGGTCAAGAGCATGTACCTTGGTTGCGGGCATATCCCCAGTAGGGGGTGTACAAGAGGCAGCTGATTGATGACTCTCTCTCATTGATGTTTCTAACTCTCTATCTCTCTCCCTCTCTGTACAAAATCAATAAAATATATTTTAAAAAAAATAATTCCCTCTCATGATTGATGTTTCTCTCTCTCTCTCCCTCTCCCTTCTTCTCTGAAATAAAACATACACACACCTACACCCACACCCACACACCAACTCAGGCAAACAGTATATGTGAGGGACAAATTCCTCTCAGGAATGTGTCCATGTGAGCTGAGTAGTAGGAGGTACAATGTTCAATTTATTTCATTTTGATGGAACATACAAACACACACAATTCCCTAGAAGAGTAAAGTTATTGCCGAGATTCTCAGATACTTAGGCCTCATACATAAAAGGAGATAGATGAGATCCAGGGCCACACATCCAAAGCATCCTTCCCCTTGGCCGTCTAGCAAAACACAAATGACTTCGGGTTTATAATTCTTCCCAATTAAGCTGCACGTGGTTTAAGAATCACATACTGACTTCCTCTCAACTCCTAAATTGTAAAAATTTCAAACAAACCAGCAAATACTCCTATTGAACACCTATGGTCTCAGCATCAAGCTGAGCACACAGAGCTGTTGTATTTCTGGTAAACACAAAAAATGTAGCTTGAAGGAAGGAAAGAAGAAACACCTGTAAGCAAGATTATGAGTCCTCCCCCCACCCCACCGCAAGCACAAGTGTTTACATCTTAGTTTCAGATTTTTTTCCTGAACAAAAATATAACTGGTCAAGTCAATTTTTTCCTATGGATTTCCAAAGAGCTCAATATGTCCATACTCAAATGGGAAAGAATAATTTTTTTATTTTTAAAAATATATCTTATTGATTTTCTTACAGAGAGGAAGGAAGAGGGATAGAGAGCTTGAAACATCGATCAACTGCCTCCCGCACCCCTCCCTCCCCCGCAGAGGATGTGTCCGCAATCAAGGTACATGCCCCTGCCCCTGCCTGGAATTGAACCTGGGACCCCTGAGTCGGCAGGTCAATGTTCTGTCCATTGAGCCAAATCAGTCAGGGCAAGAATAATTATTTTAAAATGTTTTCTTTCGACAACCAAGAGAAATACAGAGCATGCTCAAACAGCCTAAGTAGAGCTATGAAAACAATCTGTGTGTGCGTGGGGGGAAACCAATGAGCTTTGTGAAACAATTTCTATAATACAATCCATAGTCAGTGAGAGGAGATAAGAGTCAAAGGACTGTGTGAAACAAAGTGTTACATTCTTAGCCTGGTAGTCCCTAAACAGCTCTAACATTGCAAAAACAGTACTTTACCTTTCTGGAGATTGAAGAGACATTCAAACCAAATCTTTGGGCTCTTTCCTTTAGCTTGTCCAAATTAACCTACAAAAACAAGGGGGGGGGGGAAACAAACACCAACAAAAAACCAACCTATGTTTTAAAAAATAAAAACAGAAAATACAGAAGGCAGAAACTATGGTCCAATGATAAAAGTTAAATAAGCCTACATCAAAGTAACCTATGTGCCAAATTAGGACACAAAGCAGCACCCGTCCATGCCACTAATTATTAAAAGGCTTCTTTTGGAATGCAGTGACAGAATCAGTCCTACTTCCTTCATTCATCAAAGGTGGCAAGAATCTCAGGAGGGTTTAAGATCAAAGTATGACAAACACTGCTTGAAAAAGGAAACAAATGCCTAAATCATCACCTCCTAACAAGTCCTCCATTCAAAGTCCAAAATCATTAATTCCTATAGTCTCTGCAAATAGTTCTTAGCAGAAAGGTATCATCACTGCACATGTACTTTCTTCAGAAGAAAAATCTACCACCAGTACCCTACTCAATTTTCTTGGAAGCCTTGATATATCAAGATTATCACAGGAATATTTAGGACATTTTCTTTCTTTTTAGGTAGATGGATATTTTGAACGATTAATGCATGTAATTGCTGAGGTCACTATGTACAGGTAAGAGAGGTGGAGATTTATTTCTTGATCTCTTTCCCCTCGGACAGTCTTAATGATTTCCTCCCTCTTGGCCTGGAGCCATTCTTCATGGAGCTTGCGTGCTTCCTTGGTCTTAGACCCATGGGCCTCAGCCTGGTCAGCTAGAAGTTTGTTGTGAGTCTTGTCTGCCTTCCTTCAGCTCATGAATGTGTTCCATAAGAATCCGCTTATTTCTGAACACGTTACCTCTTTCAAGCACAGGCTAAGATACACGTGGTGGCCAATCTTCTTAGATTCACAGTATCTTCTAAGCAGCTGGAGAATTCTCATCCTCCTCATCCAGGCTACCTTCTCAGCCATTCAAGCACTGGCAGTACCCTTTGGTTTACCTCACCCATATGCCTGCCCTTCTTGCAGGCCAAGGTGTTTTTCAAGGATCAAGCTTGGGGAATGGACAAGCACAGGCTTCCAGATGATCAGTCCATCTTTGATCAACTTCCAGATCTGCTGATGGGAGTTGGCATTGGCGATTTCATTAGTCTCAGTGGGTTCCAACCCAACCTTCTTTTTGCCACAGAAAAGGACACTGCAGCCAAGCCTCTTCTGAACCCTGAGCAATACTCATGTATGCATGTGGTCACAGAAGTAAAAGTATTTTAGAAATTTTCATTAATACTACTACTAAAAATAATGAACTGTAACCACAAAAGCAGAATTCCATAAAGCTGAACTTTTTTTTTTATAGTAAACACTTTTAAAATTTTATTTATTTTTATTATATTTTAAATCCTCTCCCGAGGATATGTTTTATTGATTTTAGAGAGAGAAAAAAGGGAGACTGAACTGAGAGAAAGAGACATCAATGTGAGAGAGAAACATCAACTGGTTGCCTCCCGTACGTGCCAACCAGGGAATGAACTGGCAACCTGGGTGGGTATGTGCCCTGACCAGGAATCAAACTTGGACCTTTCTGTGTAGAGGACAACACTCCAACCAACTGAGCTAAGGACAAACTGAACATATTTCACCACATCACTTATTTCCATTTTCTAATCATGCCTACTAGTCACAATGGCCCAGAAGTGTCTTATTCTACTAGTCTTTATTCTGATTTTACATTTACTAGGAGTGTTGAAAAATACCGGTATCTATAAATAGAACTCATTAAGTTGCTTTCACAGATTTTCTTGTGGTAATTAAAATTAGACATTATCAAAGCCACTGGACAAGGCCTAAAACTGCAGTACCATAAGACAAAGAGTTACATGGGCTGTTCTCTAACAAAATCTATTCATTTTTTCCAAGAGGAGTGGTAGGAAGGGGGATGTCTATAGTATTTTTGAAGACATGGCAATTTTCCTGACCTCTTGGTACCTCTAACAATTCTCTTTATTGAGGACATAAAACATTACTGAAAACAGTTCCGAGCTCATATGATTTCAGTTTCCTTTGACCAGGGGAGGAGGAGAAGTCTCTTTAACTTATACTAACTGTATAGAGTTAAGTTTTAGCTCTCAAGGTATAAAATAAGATTTCTTACCACAGGCTTGGTGTCAGATGACAGGCCTAAAAAAAGAAAGTTTAATTTAATATTTTAAAAGCCATAAAGGAAGCTCACATTCTTCAAATCAAGTCAGACAACATAGAAATAATATATATGACAAATCTCCTTTATTAGAAGTAAAAGGCAGATTGCATCTAAAGATCATATATGCATTACATCTAGAATCTTATTTAGTGTTTCTCTCTCATCGATGTTTCTAACTTTCTATCCCTCTCCTTTCCTCTCTGTAAAAAATCAATAAAATGTATTTTTTAAAAAGAAAAAAAATCAGTGGCTGCTTGGGGGGACAGGATGGGAAACAACTGATAATGAGTACAGGGTTTTGGTTTTGGGCGATAGATATGTCCTAAAATTAGACTGTGATGATAGCTGCACAACCCCTGAGAATATAAAGGAACCAATGAATTACCGTATTTTTCGGACCATAAGATGCACTTTCCCCCCCCCAGAAGTGGGGGGGAAAAGTCCCTGCGTCTTATGGTCCAAATATAGCCTACACATATACTTTAAAAAAAAAGTTTTTTTTACTTGCCCGGCTCTGTGTGGTCTCTGTGTGCTTGCCCGGCTCTAAAATGGTTCTAAATGCTGCTGTTTACTTTACAGGGTTGATTACATGTGTTTATGACTGTGATGTTGGGTTTTAATGCACATAAAATATTTTAGGACACTATTTGTTTCAGAATCTTTTTTTCTTCATTTCCCTTCTCTAAAAACTGGTGCGTCTTATGGTCCGGAGCGTCTTATGGTCCGAAAAATATGGTATATATTTTAAATGAATGAATTGTATGGTATATGAATTATATCTCAATAAAGCTATTAAAAATGAGAAAGAAATTCATATCTGGAAAAAAGAGCAGAGCTATTATCATGAGTTAAAATTATGTCCTCTTTTTAAAAAATATACTTTCTTATTGATTTCAGAGAGGAAGGGAGAGGGAGAGGTAGAAAACATCAAAGATGAGAGAGAATCACTGATTGGCTGCTTCCTGCACTCCACACTGGGGATGGAGCCCACAACCTGGGCATGTGCCCTGATCAGGAATGGAACCATGACCTCCTGGGACTTCCTGGTTCATAGGTTGACACTTCACCAGTGAGCCACACCAGCTGGGCAAAATTATAGCCTCTTTAAGACAATGTTCTGTCTGGAAATTATAACTAAGCAAGTAGTAAACTGGTCTATAGGATCAAACCTGATCTAGTCAATAATCACTGACTTAAAACTTAAGCAATCTCAATTTTGTCCTTGGTTCTATAATTCTCCAATGTAAACATTTATGTATGGATTCAACTTTTACCATAACCCATGTGCTAGGAATTAGGTGTTTTTATGTTCTCACTCATAACACTATAACTCCTTTCAAATGTTCTGTTCAACATTTTAATTGATTTTCTTAGAGACAGAGAAAGGGAGAGGGGAGACAGAAACATTGATGAGAGAGAAACATCGATTGGCAACCTCCCGCAAGCCCACAATCCAGGCATGTGCCCTGACTGGGAATCAAACAAGTGACCTCGAACTGGTGACCTCTTGGTTCATGGGTCAACACTTAACTACTGAGCAACACCAGCCAGGCTGTTCTCTTCTTTAGAGTTACTCTGTAATTCTAGGATGTCAGAGTTATGGTAACACTGTAAATGTTATCTATACATTATTTTTACTGATCAGGTTTAGTTCTCAGACTGTATTCATCTTAACTTTTTTCTTTCTTCAAATTTCACCATCTAATGTCTTAAATAATTTTGTTGTACTATCATCAGTCCTATTATCTCTCTCTTGACATAACTAAAAACTAGAAAATAACTTATTTCTAAAACACATACTGATAGTGGCCAGAATTTTTCTGGTCTTTTAAAAAGCACAGCAATATAAGATCTTTGGAGGACATTTTCTTTTTAATTTTTTTAAATTAAATTATTATCTTTGTACATATACCATTACCACCCCCCCCCCCAATACATACCCTCCCTCCCCAGTTTTGTGTCCATTGGTTGTACTTATAAGCATGTATACAAGTGGAGGACATTTTCTTAACACACTTAAAACTATAAACAAGTCACTAAGAATATTGGACTGAATTAGGAGAGTACATTTAAATTTTACAGGGATTATGTCCTTTTAAAAAGAACAATAACCTGCCCTAGCTGGTTTGGCTCAATGGATAGAGCATTGGCCTGCAGACTGAAGGGTCCCGAGTTCAATTCTAGTCAAGGGTACATGCCCGGGATTGTGGGCTTGACCTCTAGTGTGGGGGTGCAGGTGGCAGCCGACAGATGATTCTCTCTCATCAATGATGTTTCTATCTCTCTTTCCCTCTCCTTTCCTCTCTGAAATCAATAAAATATACAAATATTTTTAAAAAGCCAATAACCTTTATATCCTAATTATAAAATGTATATTCATTGTGGAAATTTTAAAAACAGACAAGATGTAGTTACTCAAAATTCTACTAGAGACAATGAGCATTAACAATTTAGTACATTTCTGCCGAGACCGGTTTGGCTCAATGGATAGAGCGTCGGCCTGCGGACTGAAAGGTCCTGGGTTCGATTCCAGTCAAGGGCATGTACCTTGATTGTGGGCACATCCCCAGTGTGTGACTGATGATTCTCTCTCATCGATGTTTCTAACTCTCTATCCCTCTCTCTCCCTCTCTGTAAAAAAATCAATAAAATATATATATTAAAAAAACAAAACAAAAACAAAAAACAATTTAGTACATTTCCTTATTTTTTCTTAGCCATACATGTACTAGGAAATGACAATCTACTGCAAATTTTATAACTTGCTTTTTTCACTTAATATCTTACTGACAAATATTCTTCAATATCATTTTTAACATCTGCATGGCCTTCCTCTATACCATGGTACAAATTTATTTAACCAACTCCCTACTGTATGTCACACTGCTTCCAGTTACTGATTACTACAAAAATGCATGATAATCTTTGTGGCTAAATCTTTAAGTATATCCAAGATTAATTCCTAGAAGTAAGATAATTGAGGTAAAAGAGACCACTACACTAGGCAGAATAACAATGGACAGGTACATAATTATATACTGATTTGAGGTAACAGAATAAGTAAGTGAGGTACTAGAAAGTTCTCTGAAAATGTCCAAAAAAGGAAAAACAAATGTTGGTACTTCTTCCTATTCTCTTCAGTACATTCTCTAAATTGCCCAGGAAGGTTTACATATAGTTTTACCTAAAGCAAAGAGGTAAATGTTGCAACCTCTTAAAGGCTTCTAAAAATTAACAAGTTTACCTTAATTTGGAGAAATCAAATCTGTGTGCCAGAAAAGTAAGAATATAGAGATAACTTTCTCAGAAGAGTTTCTGTGTGCTTACCTTTTGAGGGAACTGAAGAAATTCCAAATCTGTAGAAAGAAAAACAAGCTAAATTTTAGGGAGCTGTTCACACTCCTAGTCTCCGTGTCAAGTGTACATATGGCACTTCTTGCTTGTGATCTCAAGCCTTGCAATCATTAGCCAATTCTAACAACTCCATGAAAGAAGTTCCGTTTACTCTTTCTCACGAAGAGTCCAAATAATAAGCTAAAAGGAAGCCTTATCAATAGTAGTCAGTTCCTAACTTTTACCTATTACAAAACCCCTGCTCGATAATAAAACCCATCCATAGCTACTATATCCAAATCAGCAGAGTTCTCGATAGAGCCAAAAAAGTTTGTTCAGCAAGGCCCATATCCTCCTTAAAGTCAACAAGTATATTTAAAATCACAGCCCCTCACCTTCATACTACCACTATCTCAGGTCCAAAAGGCTGGGGATACTCACCTAGCTGCCCGGGCAGCTTTCTTACTCTCCAAACTCACAGGTACATTGAATCTTTCAGCTCTCTTCTGCATTCTCTAAGTGATAATGGATAAAAGAAGGGGAAAAGAAAAATTTAATTTCTGGTTTTCTTCTCTTAAGAGAAAAGTTGTTCAGAGGGTTTCTTTAGAATATGAGAAGTAATTTTTTAAGATCTAAACTAAGAATACTGACCATCTTAGAGAATATCAGGTCATATCCATTTGAGGGCTTAACTCAATAGCCGTTTCCAGAAAGCAAACACAAAAAGACTATTATTACATCCATGCCCTCAAAAACTAAAGAAATAAAATAAAACCCACAATCTGCATGAAGCCAAGGAGACAAAAAGCTGTGTCTAGTTGACCTTTGAAAAGGGATCAAAGGAACAACTGGCTCGAATAGTAGTGATATGTGTTCAGTTAGAAATATATCTTATGCCACCTTTACTTTAAAGGTGTAAAAAAGAAACAGATCTCGACTGGAACCTAGTTTCAGAGATCTTAAGACAAAATCCCACAGAAATTTCAATGTCACCAGCTAGTGAGTTATAACTTAAGGATGACATCTTCCCTTGTTTTTTCATCTCTCCCAAGGTACAATTCTCCCAAGCTCTAATCCTAGCTTGTAAACATCCTAAAGAGAAATACCACTAAGACCACAGGTACGGTGTTACATACAAAAGACTATGGTTTCAATGGTGACTATGCCAAACCAAATATTTTCTCAAATGTAGTTGGTGAAAAAATATATCAATACCAAATCTGTAAATACTGTTTTACTGCCTATGAGTAAAAACTTTAAAGTGATAATACAGATAAAAGGTAAGAAAAAGAAAGGTATATGTATAGAGGCCTGCTCTTCTCCCAGGGGAAAATACCTACCTCAGTCTGTGATATTTCAGATGTAATTTTTACCACTTTCTTTTCTGCTGCCCTGGAAAAAGAGCAAAGATTTATTTAAAATGAGAAAACGGACATTCTAAACCAAAACTTTAGAACAGTCTAAGAATTTTCCTGAATCATCTCTTCTGTCCCATATCTTTCTACTACCTCTTCTTAAGCCCCCTCTCCCGCAAATAAAACATAAAACACTTTAGAACTTCCAATTCTTTGAACTGTCATCTACTGACAAGAGTTCAAATAACAGACCAAGCTACTTTGCTGAAGTATAAGGAAGTTATCAGGAAAGAAGTCTGGTTAAATATATTGGGCTGAAATGAAATACTCAAAAGGATACGGGAAACCATTTTATATATTTACTTATAGTAAATAAAAGCATTTTAAATTTACTTCTGGTCTACTAACTAGTCCTCTAACCCTCATTTAAATATCAGCTCTCAATTTTCATCACTGAAACAATTAACGTGTGCTCTACAAGATCTGGGTTCTTTCTTTTACAAATCCCTTATTTCTCCCATGGGGACTATAGCTTCAGCTGAAATAGTCAAAATGGGACAAATAAAAATGCCAAAAGGAGTGGGAAGAAAAAAGGCTAAGGGGAGTTTGAATTAGGAAAACACAGTAAGTTACTAGTCAAAAGGCTAAGAGAAAACAAAAGAGGAGGACCACAGGGGCGGGAGACAAAGTTCGGAAGTACCCAGGATAAATGGAAGGGAATTAACCTTCCACCAAACGACTCCCATAAAACTGTGGGTCATAACCAGTCTCATTAAGGTCCCTCATTTAGAGACATGGGCGGCTTTTGTTCCAATATCCCAGACACTTTTCCCATTTGATGCCCTGAAAGGTAGTAATGGTTTAATGGCATTTCAGAGGAAGCAATTCTGGAACAGGAACTTACTCTCTCCTACATCCTTTTGTTGAAAGTCCCTGAACTGACAGATAAGCAATAGGTGCCCCCTGCTGACCATAACTAAGTCCTACAATATTTAACTGGTGTGACTATGAAGAGAGAGAAGAAAAAAAAAATCAAACTAGAAAGAGGAATATTTTTGGAGACACTGAAACCAGAGATGAAGTAGGGGATCTCCTATTGAATGTCCCAGGGATATAAATTAGCCCTAAATATTCTGACTTTTAAAGAAATTTTTGAATTCTTCCCATTTCCTGGTCACTCTTCCTTCCCCATTACTGTCTTGTTCAGGCAAAAAGGGACACTGAAGTTTAATGTTTTTCTTCAAGTCCAATGCCATTAAGAAAGCAGTCCTCTCCACCAACCCCTAATGACTTTCTTCACATTCCTGTCTTAAAACACAATCAGTGCAGTTCACCTCCTAGCAGAAGTGGAACCACAGAGAGGAAGCCTCCTTCTGTTCCATTCTAACTCTCTCAGGCACAATTAAGCACAAGCAATAAAAACACAGCACATTCTGGGACTCAAGGGAAATTTTGTCTCTTAACTGAGAAAATTTTGACACACAATCACATACAAAACACTGTCTAAACTATAAGGACTCAGACCCTTTCTGAACTGTACATACTTAAAAAAAAATAAATAAAAAAAATATATATTTATATTTATATTTTATTGATTTCAAGGAGGAAAGGAGGAGAGAGATAGAAACATCAATGATGAGAGAATTATTGACTGGCTGCCTCCTACATGACCCCAAGTAGGGGGCCAAGCCCAAAACCAGGGCATGTGCCCTGACAGGAAAGGGAATCGTGACTGCCTGGTTCATAGGTGGATGCTCAACCACTGAGCCACGCCAGCCAGGCATTATTGTACATATTTCAGTCTAACCATTACTTCCCTCCAAAAAGCAAAATCACTACTATCCCACGCAATCAATTTCCCTGTTTAGAAATTAAAACCCCTTAATCAAATTACACATTTTACAATATCCTAAGAATAATGAACTTTTACAAATTTTCAAACTTCATTTTTCAAAATACTTATTTATTATTATTATTATTTTTTTTTTAGAGAAAGAAAGAGGGAGAGAGCGAGCAAAGCACTATCAGCTGCCATCTGTACGTTCCCTATCCCCTTACTGGGGACAGAGCCCACAACTTGTGCATATGCCCTGACAGGGAGTCAAACATGCAACTTTTTGGTGCAGGGCAGTGATAGGCAAAATGCAGCTCACAAGCCACATGCAGCTCTTTGGCCCCTTGAGTGTGGCTCTTCCACAAAATACCATGTCACGTACAGTGAGACTGAGACTTTGTGGCCTATGTGCAGAAGTCGGTTTTCAGTTCTCAAAAAAAATTTCAATTGTTGTTCTGTTGATATTTGGCTCTGTTGACTAATGAGTTTGCCGACTTCTGGTGGAGGGGATGATGTCCAACCAAGCCACACCAACCAGATCCAAATTTCATTATTTTTAACCACACAAGCCAATTATCACTGTATTTATCTGATATTCCTTCTTGCCCAGAAGTCCCCAAAACATCTCAATTTGAAAGCTATCCCATAAAACATTTTCTTAAAACATTGTATCTAAACTCAAGTCTCTATGATGGAAGATAACTAAAAGGTTTTCAAAAGCAGTAATATTTGAAAAAAATCTAATAAAACATTACATACACATTCCCTGTAATATAGCAACTCCAGGGATATTCTCTATGAACATACTTGCATAAATATAAAAACAGTTGCATAAGGACATGTAGCACTGCATTTTTTGCTATTATGAATAATCTCAATGTCCATCAACAGGAGACTAGTGAAATTACTGTTTATCCCTGGAATGGAATACTATTAGTTGCTAGAAAGAATAAAGCTCTAAAGTGATAACTACTAAATCTGAATAAATGGGTTAAGTCTATTATACTATTTTGTAACTTTTACATATTATTTGCAATTTCCCATAACAACAAACTTAAAAAAGAGAGCTACCACTTACTAGGATAATTATTCATATTTCAGGACTGATGTGAAGATTAAATGTATATAGGTATAACACTTAGAACCTTACTTAATATATAATTAACATCTATGTAAGAACACTATTATATAAAGATTTCCCGATGTAGAGACCAAAAGCAGGTCTGAAAGGAAAGCTCATAGCACTTCAGGCCTATCTCAAGAGACAGAGAGAGAGAGAGAAAGAGAAAGAGATAGAGAGAGAGGAAGGGAGGGAGAGAAACAATAATAATAAACTATTTAACTCTGCAACTTAAAGAACTAGAAAGAAGCCGAAACCAGTTTGGCTCAGTGGTAGAGCGTCGGTCTGTGGACTGAAGGGTCCCGGGTTCGATTCCGGTCAAGGGCATGTACATTGGTTGCGGGCACATCCCCAGTAGGGGGTGTGCATCATCGACGTTTCTAGCTCTCTATTTCTCTCCCTCCTCTCTGTAAAAAATCAATCAAATATATTAAAAAAAAAAAAAAAAAGAACTAGAAAGAAAACAATAAGAAAGGCCCAGAGTAAGTAGAAGGAAGGAAATAATAAAGATTACAGCAGAAATAAACGACAAAGAAACTAAACAAACACACACACACACACACACACACACACAAAACCTCACAAAAATATCAATTATCAAAATAAATGTGGTACCATCTCACACCAGTGCGAATGGCTATCATCAACAAATCAACAAATGACAAGTGCTGGTGAGGATGCAAAGAAAAAGGAATACTCATGCACTGCTGATGGGAATTCAGACTGGTGCAGCCACTGTGGAGAACACTATGGAGTTTCCTCAAAAAAACTGAAAATGGAACTCCCATTTGACCTAGTAATCCCACTCCTGGGAATATATCCTAAGAAACTAGAAATACCAATCAGAAAGGATGTATGTACCCCTATGTTCATAGCAGCACTATTTACAATAGCTAAGATTTGGAAACAGCCTAGGTGCCCGTCTGCAGATGACTGGATCAGAAAACTATGGTACATCTACATAATGGAATACTATGCTGCCATAAAGAAAGAAGGAATTCTTACCATTTGCAGCAACCTGGATGGAATTGGAGAACATTATGCTAAGTGAAATACGCCAGTCAATAAAAGAAAAATACAACATGATCTCACTCATTTATGGATAATAAAGAACATTATAAACTGAAGAACAAAAAGATAAATACAGAGTCAGTAAAGCATCAAACGACTGTCAAATTACAGTGGGAAGGTTAGGGAGAGGTGGAGAAGATAAGAGATCAACTGAAGGACTTGTATGCATGCATATAAGCATAACCAATGGACGCAAAACACTGGGGGGTGAGGGCATGTATGGGAGTGGGGTGGGGTGGGGGACAATGATAAGATATGCACACATATAATACATTAATAAAAAAAATGTGGGGAAAAAATTAATGAAACTAAGAACTGGTTCTTTGAAAGGATAAACACGATTGATGAGCCATTAGCAAGATCCATCAAGAAACAAAAGAGAACCCAAATAAATAATACCAGAAACAAAAGTGGAGAAATAACCACCGACACCACAAAAATACAAAGGATTGTAAGAAAAGTACAATGAATAACTTTATGCCAAAAAGCTGGACAATGTGGATGAAATAGAAAAATTCCTAGAAAAATACAATCTCCCAAAACTGAATCAGGAAGAATCAGAAAACTTGACTAGGCCAATAACAACTGATGAAATAGAAGCACTAATAAAAAATAAAAAAAACTCCAGCAAACAAAAGCCCAGGTCCCGATGGCTTCACAGAGAAGTTTTACCGAACTTTCAAAGTAACATCTCCCCTCCTCCGGCTATTCCAAAAAAATTCAAGCCGGGACTGGTTTGGCTCAATGGATAGAGCGTCGGCTTGGGGACTGAAGGGTCCCGGGTTCGATTTCCGGTCAAGGGCATGTACCTTAGTTGCGAGCATATCCCCAGTAGGGGGTGTGCAAGAGGCAGCTGATCGATGACTCTCTCTCATTGATGTTTCTAGCTCTGTTTCTAGCTCTCTATCTCTCTCCCTTCCTCTCTGTATAAAATCAATAAAATATATTTTAAAAAAAATTCAAGAGGAAGAAACATTTCCAAGCTCTATGAAGCCAGCATTATTCTAATTACAAAATCATATAAAGACACTACAAAGAAAGAGAATTACAGCCAATATCCCTAATCAACAAAGATGCTAAAATCCTCAATAAAATATTAGCAAATTGAATCCAGCAATATATTAAAAAGATCATACACCATGGCCAGGTGGGATTTATTCTGGGGATGCAAGGCTGGTACAATATTCACAAATCAATAAACATGATACATAACATAAATTGAAAGACAAAAATCACATGATCATAACAAGAGTCAAAGAAAAAGTATTCGACAAAATTTAACACCAATTAAAAAAATTTTTTTTTATTGATTTCAGAGAGGAAGGGAGAAGGTGAGACAGACAGAAATATCAAGAATGAGAGAATCATTCATTGGCTGATTCCTGCATGGCCCCTACCAGGGATTGAGCCCACAACCCTGGCATGTGCCCTTGACCGGAATCGAACCTAGGACCCTTCAGTCTGCAGGCTAACACTCTATCCACTGAACCAGACTGGCTAGGGCCCAATACCCATTTTTGATAAAAACTCTCAGCAAAGTAAGTATAGAGGGAGCATATCTCAAGGACATATATAACAAACCTATATAGAACATCTTACTCAAATGGCAAAAACTAAAAACCATTTTCCCTAAGAACAGTAAGAAGCCGAAGCCGGCTTGGCTCAGTGGTAGAGCATCGGTCTGCAGATTGAAAGGTCCCTGGTTCGATTCCGGTCAGGGGCATGTACATTGGTTGCGGGCACGTCCCCAGTAGGGGGTGTGCAAGAGGCAGCTGGTCGATGTTTCTCTCTCATCGGTGTTTCTAGCTCTCTACCTCTCTCCCTTCCTCTCTGTAAAAAATCAATTAAAAAAACACACACACACACAAAAACAGAACAGTAAGAAGATAGGGATATCTGCTTTCAACACTCTTAATCAACATAGTACTGGAAGTCTTAGCCACAGCGATCAACCAAGAAGAAATCAAAGGCATCCAAATTGGAAAGGAGTAAGTAAAACTTTAATTATTCACAGATGACATGATATTGTACATAGAAAACCTAATGGCTCCACCAAAAAAAATGACATTTACAAAATCAACACCCAAAAATAGATGGCTTTTTTTATATACCAATAAGGAATTCTCAGAAAAAGAAATTAAAAAACAATCCCACTTACCATTGCACATACACACACAAAAAGAAATAAAAAAAATTTTTTTTAATTAAGATACTTAGGAATAAACTTAACCAAGGAGGTAAAAGACATGAACTCAGAATACTAGAGGACATTGAAAAATGAGATAGAAGAAGATATAAACAAATGGAAGAATATTCCTTGTTCATGAATCAACATCATTAAAATGTCTGCACTACCCAAAGCAATCAACAGATTCAATGCAATCCCTATTAAAATATCAACGGCATATTTCACAGATCTAGAACAGTAACTCCAAAAATTTATATGGAACCAAAAAAGAACCCGAACTGCTACAGCAATCTTGAGAAAGAAGAATAAAGTTGGAGGAATCACAATACCAAATATCAAATTATATTACAAAGCCACCGTGATCAAAACAGCCTGGTTCTGGCGTAAGAACAGGCATATCGATCAATGGAACAGAATGGAGACCCAAGAAATTGACTCAAGCCATTACACTCAATTAATATTTGACAAAGGAGACAAGAGCATACAATGAAGTCAAGAGAGTCTCTTCAATAAAAGGTGTTGGGAAAATTGGACAGATACCTGCAAAAATATGAAACTAGACCACCAACTTACACCATATACAAGAATAAACTTAAATGGATAAAAGACCTAAATTTAAGTCAGGAAACCATAAAAAAATCATAGAAGAAACCATAGGCAGCAAAATCTCAGACATCTCTTGTAGCAATATGTTTACGGATTTATCTTGTAGGGCAGTGGTCAGCAAACTGTGCCTTGCGAGGCATATGTGACTCTTTGGCCCCTTGAGTGTGGCTCTTCCACAAAATACCATGGCCTTGGTGAGTCTATTTTGAAAAAGTGGCATTAGAAGAAGTTTAAGTTTAAAAACTTTGGCTCTCAAAAGAAATTTCAATCATTGTACTGTTGATATTTGGCTCTGTTAATTAATGAGTTTGCCGACCACTGTTCTAGGGCAAAGGAAACTAAGGAGAAAATAAACAAATGGGACTATGTAAAAATGAAAAACGTCTGCACAGCAAAAGAAAACATCAACAAAATGAGAAGGGAGACCACTGTATGGGAGAACATATTTGGCAATGATACATCTGATAAAGAGTTAATATCCAAAATATATAAGGAACTCATACAATTTAACAAAAGGAAGACAAACAATCCAATTAAAAAATGGACAAAGGACGTAAATAGACACTTTTTGAAAGAGGAGCTACAGAAGGCCAAGAGACATATAAAAAATGCTCAGTCACTAATCATCAGAAAGATGCAAATTAAAATGACAATGAGGTATCACCTTACACCTGTCAGAATGGCTACCATCAACAAATGACAAGTGCTACGGTAGTAAGGATGTGGAGGAAAAAAAAGAGCCCTAGTACAATGCTGGTGGGAATGCAGACTGGTGCAGCCATTATGGAAAACAGTATGGAGTTTGCTCAAAAAATTAAATATGCAACTCCCATTTGATCCAGTGATCCCACTTCTAGGAATATATCTTAAGAAACCTGAAACACCAATCAGAAAAAATGTATGTACCCCTATGGTCATAGCAGCACAATTTATAATAGCTAAGATCTGGAAACACCCAAGTGCCCATCAGTAGATGAGTGGATAAAAAAGCTATGGTACATTAATACCATGGAATACTATGCAGCAGTAAAAAAATCTCTTACCCTTTGAGACAGCCTGGAGGGCCCTGAAGGGTCAAACAGTACATACACTTGCTAAGTGAAATGTCAGTCAGAGAAAGACAAGTATCACATGATGTCACTCATATGTGGAATCTAATGAACAAAATAAACTGATGAACAGCGTGGATCCAGAAACATGGAAGCACGGAACAGAGTGCAGAATCTCAGAGGGAAGGTGCAGAAGGGTGTGTGGGTGGGAGGTAATCGACCAAAGACCTTATATGCATATATGCATAACCTATGGGTGGGGTGAGCTATAAGGGGTCAATGAGGGGGGAAAAAAGGACATATGTAATACTTTCAACAATAAAGATTAAAAAAAAGAGAGAGAGCCGAAACCGGTTTGGCTCAGTGGTCTGCGGACTGAAAGGTCCCAGGTTGGATTCCGATCAAGGGCATGTACATTGGTTGCGGGCACATCCCCGGTAGGGGGTGTGCAAGAGGCAGCTGGTCGATGTTTCTCTCTCATCGACGTTTCTAGCTCTCTATATCTCTCCCTTCCTCTCTGTAAAAAATCAATAAAATATATTAGGGGAAAAAAAAGAGAGAGAGAGAGAGAGAAACATCACTGGAGATAACTGTTCCAAAAAAAAAAAAAATCTCCAGGTGTGAAAAAAAAATCAAGAAACCAACAATATACACTGTGTGTAACCATATATATCTGTATATACATATACCATGTAATATATTACATGATTTCAGAGATATATTTCAATTAAATACAAAAGAATATATTGAAAACCTCTAGGAAATCAGATGGGGGTGATAACAAGGGGTGCTTGAGTGTATGTACTGTTTGACTTTTAATTAGTCTATTCATTGCATTTTATAGTTAAATGCATTACCAACACAGTTATGAGGAACAAAAATGTTAAAAAGGACTCAACTGGCCGAAACCGGTTTGGCTCAGTGGTAGAGCGTCGGTCTGCAGACTGAAAGGTCCCAGGTTCGATTCCGGTCAAGGGCATGTACATTGGTTGCGGGCACATCCCTGTTGGGGGGTGTGCAAGAGGCAGCTGGTCGATGTTTCTCTCTCATTGACGTTTCTAGCTCTCTATCTCTCTCCCTTCCTCTCTGTAAAAAATCAATAAAATATATTAAAAAAAAGAAAAAAAAAGAAAAAAGGACTCAACTGTTCTTAATGTGCTAGAGAATAAGAAAGCCAGACATCACCGAAACCGGTTTGGCTCAGTGGATAGAGCGTCAGTCTGCGGACTGAAAGGTCCCGGTTTGATTCCAGTTGAAGACATTTACATTGGTTACGGGCACATCCCCAGTGGGGGTTGTGCAGGAGGCAGCTGGGTCAATGCTTCTCTCATCATCGATGTTTCTAGCTTTCTATCCCTCTCCCTTCCTCTCTGTAAAAAAATCAATAAAATATATATTTTTTTAAATGGCCAGACATTTGTAGAAAGAACCCCAAATAAAAAATGTTTATGATAACATAGTGGGATAGTTTAAACAAATCAAGATCTACTTTCCACTCTAGTATTTTGTCCTCCCTTCCTCTACTATAAATCAAACTGGTAGAGAGAATAGTGTACTTGAGAGGCAAAATCTCTGCTCAGCACTCTTCTTCTTTACAAAAGTCCTTATATGCAGAGAATTTGTATAATTCGCTATACAGAAAAAGAACTATCTATTATGGTGATACAACAAAGGCTAGAAGACCTAAACTTCGAGCTTAAAGTTTCCTGGTCCTAATTACCTATTATATAAAGCAGAGACAAACTACTATGACCATATACTTAAATGAAATAGTCTCTAATGAGCCGAAACCGGTTTGGCTCAGTGGATAGAGCGTCGGCTTGGGGACTGAAGGGTCTCGGGTTCGATTCCGGTCAAGGGCATGTACCTTGGTTGCGGGCACATCCCCAGTAGGGGGTGTGCAAGAGGCAGCTGATCGATGACTCTCTCTCATTGATGTTTCTAACTATCCCTCTCTCTTCCTCTCTGTGAAAAATCAATAAAATATATTAAAAAAAGGAAAAAAAAGAAATAGACTCTAATGAAAATGTATGATCTACTGAGAAATGAAAAAGCCAACAAAAACACATAAAAGTTAAAACAAAATGAAACACTAATATCCCACCCCCAAATCCAGATTGTCTGCTCTGTACTCAAATTACAAAAAGAGATAGTTACACATCAACAGTTTTTTCAGGGGGTTCTTCCTCTTTAACAGGCAGTTCTATGGTCTTTGGTTCTTCTTCCTAAAACCAAACGAAACAGGATATTTAATATAAATCAAGAGTAAAAACCTATCAGAAGAATATGAAAACGCTAAAATGAACCAGTCTTTCAGAATCTTCATTTGCCCACTACACTCCCTTAGCAAGTTAGTATTTAAGCTCTCTAATGACTGATGTTAAACAATGCAACACATTGTCAGGTCAGTGACTAACCTTATTCTCTCCAACTCACCTCTGTTTCATCTCCTAGTACGTCTTCTTCATTTGCCTCCTCTTCAGCTAAAGAATATTAAAATATTCAGGTCAAGCCATGCTACAAAACCGTATTGATCACTTCACTCAGGCTAAAATTATAATCATTTTGCTTTCCCAAAATACAATTCAATAATGAGGGCAGAATGAATGCTGATAAAATTGCTCCATAAAGAAGATAAAACTGTTTTCTCCATCTAACATTAATACAAAGTTGAAGTCCAGCTGAACTGAAGAACTAAATGTGATGAGGTAAAATTTAAATATTAATATTAAATAATATGGGAGGATGCCTTTAAGATTTAGTGGTAGGGAATCATTTCTAAAATTAAAAAAGAAGAAATAGAAGCAGCAGCAGCAATAGCACAGCAAGCCTGATGGTGTTGCTCAGTGGTTGAGCATTGACTAGGAACCAGGTGGTCTCACTTTGATTCCAGATCAGGGCACATGCTGAGTGACAGGTTTGATCCCCAGTGGAGGCATGTAGAAGGCAACCAATAGATGATTCTCTCTCATCGATGTTTCTCTCTCTCTTCTTCTCTGAAGTCAACACAAATGCATATACATATTAAACACACACAAACACACACACACACACACACACACACACACACACACACACAACAAAAGCAAAAATAGTATGAGAAAGCCCTGACTAGTGTGGCTCAGTTGGCTGAAGCATAACCCTGTGTACAGAAAAGTAACTTGTTTGATTCCCTGTCAGGGAACATGGGAGGCAACCAACCAATGTATCTCTCTCACATCAATGTTTCTCCCCCCCACTCCCTCACTCCTTCCCTTAAATCATTAAAAAAAAAAAAAAAATGTAATATGAAAAAATTTCAGATTTTTTCAAAACTAAGGAAAAACACATAACTAAGGAAAAACATAGAAAAGGAAACAAATAACAAAGATATTAGTCTACAACCAACAAGGGAATAGTTACTAGAATATAAAACAAATGGCTTGCAAACTAACTGGTGAATGGTACAAACCCTAAAAGAATAATAAACAAACGAGAAATTTAAAGAACCATGAACACAGAAATGTGTAAACTCTTTAATAATTAGAGAAATGTAAACCAAAACAACTAAGAGATTAGCAAAAATTAGGCTACTTGATAAGACAGTGCCAAGTTTAGGTCTGTGAAAATGATACAAGAACCATCATGTACCCTATAGATTTATAGAGCAATTCTCTAAAGTAATTTGGCAGTGCTTAGGTCATATTAAGTATACATCATAAATAGATATTAATTAGCAACCCATTCCTAGGTATATAACCCAGAAAGACTCTTACATAGGAATGTGAAGGAACATGAAAGAAGTAGTTCAGGAGGCAATAGAGGTGCCTATCACTGGGTGAATTAAAATGTGGTGGGTTCGGCAGAAACTGGTTTGGCTCAGTGGATAGCCTGCGGACTGAAAGGTCCCGGATTCGAGTCCGTTCAAGGGCATGTACTTTGGCTGCGGGCACATCCCCAGTAGGAGGTGTGCAAGAGGCAGCTGATCGATGTTTCTCTCTCATTGATGTTTCTAATTCTCTATCCCTCTCTCTTCCTCTCTGTGAAAAATCAGTAAAATATATATATATATTTTAAAATGTGGTGGGTTCTATACATCATACACCACTATATAGGAATTGGAATTAATAGACTAGATGAAAACACAGTCATAAGCCAAACAAATACATCTTTAAAACAACACAGTACTGCCTGGCCAGCATAGCTTAGGGGGTGGGCATCGACCAGGAGGTTATGGTTCGATCATGTGTGGGGCATGCAAGAGGGCAGCAAATCAAAGATTCTCTCTGACTGTTGATGTTTCCATCTTTCTCTCCCTCTCCCTTCTTCTCTGAAATAAGCAGTGACTATCCAAAGTTACCTAGTAAATTTCTGGTAGAAAAGGAATTAGAATTCAAATATTCTTTTTTAAAAAAAATATATTTTATTGATTTTTTTCCCCCCCAGAGAGGAAGAGAGAGAGAGAGTTAGAAACATCGATGAGAGAGAAACATCAATCAGCTGCCTCCTGCACACTCCCCACTGGGGATGTGCCCACAACCAATGTACATGCCCTTGACCGGAATCGAACCCGGGACCTTTCAGTCCGCAGGCCGACGCTCTATCCACTGAGAATTCAAATATTCTAATCCTCAGGTTAATGGTATTGTTTTACGATACTTCCTTTTAAATAATTTGCTGAAATAAAATTACAATGTATTTTTAAAATGGGAGGAAGTGGGTGTTTTTGCATTATAACCACTGTTCTAGATAACGAAGAGTTTTCTTGATATATCAATAGTTAATTAACAGCTTATATTACCAGCAACCTAAAGGAAGAGAAGAAATCTTCCATATGGCAGAGCCTAAAAACTAATATCCTCAATCACACCACTTTTTGCCTCCACAAAGTACTCACCATGCTCTTCAAGATAGGCCTGGAGCCTGTTGATGAGATCTTGTTTTATTCCCTTGGTCTCCAAACCACGAGCAAGACATTCCTGCTTTAGTTCAGCAAGCTGAGAAAAAAATAAAACTTTTCCTTAGTTTACAGAATGAACCTGGCCCCCCCAAAAAATTACAGTTGATCCTTGAACAACACGGAGTTATTATATTAAAGGCCCTGACACCCATGCAATAAAGTATCTAAATATAACATGAATTCCTCAAAAGCATAACTACTAATAGTCTACTGTTGATTGGAAGCCTTACCAATAACATAGAAACAGCTGATTAGCAAATTTTTGGTATATTATTATATACTATAATCTTACCATACAGTAAGCTAGAGAAAAGAAAATGTTAAGAAATCATAAAGAAACTACATTTACCATACTATATATATTTATTGAAATAAAACAAAAAACTCAAAATATAAGTGGACCTGAACAGTTTAAACCCATATTGTTAAGGATCAACTGCAATTCTCACAAAAAAAGAAAAAGAAAAGAAAGTTCAATCCCAAACAATTGTTCTTAATACCACCAAGCCTCTAGATCCACAAGAGGACTTTTCTAACATATAGTAAAAATAAATACCCTACTTTAATAAAATTATTATATATTCATGCAACTATTTATTATTACAAATCTTTAGCATTTCTGAGAAAAGGGTATAGTTTCCCCAAAAAATGACTGTACCAGCTAGTTAATGAAAATACTTAATCTTTAAGTATAAAATCTAGTTATCTACAAAAGGAGATTCTTCTGTTATCCCAGACTCTTTACTGAAATCTACCATAAACAGGTGTTCCAGTCTGACCACTTGCAGAATTAGGTTAATGTGTTAGCCAGCTAATATCAACAATGAATCAATTAAAAGATTGATTGATTCAAGCCATTACGCTCAATTAATATTTGACAAAGGAGGCATTTGCAAATATGTTCTCCCATACCATACGCTTCCTTGTTGTTTTGTTGTTTCTTTTGCTGTGAAGTTTTTTATTTTTATGTAGTCCCTTTATTTTCTCTTTAGCTTCCATTTCCCTAGAGTGGTATTGGTTTTAGAAATTGCTTCGGCATATATCTGAGATTTCTCTGCCTGTGGATTCCCCTAGTATTTTTATGGTTTCCTGTGTTATGTTTAAGTCCTTGATCCATTTTGAGTTTATTTTTGTGTATGGTGTAAGTTGGTGATCTAGTTTAATTTTTCTCCATGTATCTGTCCAATAGTCCCAATCATTTATTGAAGAGACTGTCTTGACTCCATTGTACGTTCATGCCTCCTTTGTCAAATACTAATTGAGCATAGTGGTTTGGGTCAATATCTGGGTTCTCTATTCTATTCCATTGGTCTATATGTCTGTTCTTGTGCCAGTACCAGGCTGTTTTGACAAGTGGCTTTGTAATACAGCTTGAAATCTGGTATTGAGATCCCACCTACTTTGTTCTTCTTTCTCAGGATTGCTGTGGCTATTTGGGGGTCTTTTTTTTTTTTTTTTTTTTTTATTCCAGATGAATTTTTGGTGTTCTTTCTAGGTCTGCAAAATATTCTGTTGGTATCTTAATGGGGACTGTGTTGAATCTATAGATTGCTTTGGGTAGTATGGACATTTTAATGTTGTTGATTCCACCAATCCATGAACATAGTATTTTCTTCCATTTGTTTGTCTTCCTCTAGTTCTTTTTTCAACATCCTGTAGTTTTCCGAGTGTAAGTCTTTTACCTCCTTAGTATCTTAATTTTTTTGTTGCAATGGTAAATTGATTTTTTTTTTTAGTTTCTTTCTGTGAGTTCATTATTGGTGTATAAAAAAAGTCATCGATTTTTGGGTGTTAATTTCCTATCATACTACACTGCTGGATTCATTTATTAAGTCTAGTAGTTTTTTGATGGAGTCTTTGGGGCTTTCTATACGTACAATATCATGTCATCTTCTAATACCATAGGGCAGTTTTACTTCTTTTGCAATTTGGATCCCTTTTTTTTTTTTCTTGTCTGATCACTTTGGCTAGCACTTCCAGTACTAGTTGAATAGGAGTGGTGAAAGTGGGCATCCCTATCTTGTTCATGTTCTTAGCAGAAATGGTTTTAGTTTTTGCTCATTGAGTATGGTGTTGGCTGTAGGTATGTCATATATGGCCTTTATCATGTTTGATATGCTCCCTCTATTCCCATTTTGCTGAGAGGTTTTATAAAAAACTAGAGGCCTGGTGCACAAAATCCATGCAAACTCCTGAAGGGACACTTTGCATATTAGCCTTTTATATATATTGATGGGTGTTGGATTTTGTCAAATGCTTTCTCTGTGTCTATTGATATGATCATGTGATTTTTGTCTTTCAATATGTTTATGTGATCTATCATGTTTATTGATTTGTGAATATTGTACCAGTCTTGCATCCCTAGAATAAATCCCACTTAATCATGATGTATAAACTTTTTAATATATTGCTGGATGCAATTTGCTAATATTTTGTTGAAGATTTTAGCATATATGTTCATCAGGGATATTGGCCTTAATTCTCTTTCTTTGTAGTGTCTTTATATGGTTTTGGAATTAGGATAATGCTGGCCTCATAAAAAGAGTTTGGAAGTGTTCCTTCCTCTTGAATTTTCTGAAATAGTTTGAGGAGTATAGTGTTAGTTCTTCTTTGAATGTTTGGAAAAACTCCCCTGTGAAGCCATCTGGACCTGGGCTTTTGTTTGCTGGGAGTTTTTTCTTTATTAGTGCTTCTATTTCATCAGTTGTTATTGGCCTATTCAGGTTTTCTGATTCTTCCTGATTCAGTTTTGGGAGATTGTATTTTTCTAGGAATTTGTCTATTTCATCCACATTGTCCAGATTCTTATATTATTATTTATTAATATATTACTTTTTTTTTTTAAATGTTAATTGATTTCAGAGAGGAAGAGAGGGACAGAGTAATGGAAACATCAAAGATGACAGAGAATCATTGATTGGCTACCCACTGCATGCCCCACACTGGGGATAAAGCCTGCAACCCAGGCCATGTGCCCTGACTGGAAATCGAACAATGACCTCCTGCTTCATAGGTCAGACGCTCTACCACTGTGCCATGCTGGCCAGGCAATGTGTTATTCTCCATATGAACTATATAAAACTACTTTTGCCCCACCCTGACTGTGGAGACGTGTCCTACTCAACAAGCCAACAGCACTCTATTGAGAAATGTTAGGTAATAAACTGTGTAATGGCTGCATAGTCTTAATGGCCTCTGAAGCCAGACAACCTGGATTCAAACTCTAGCTTTACCACTAACAGCTATGTAAATTTAGGCGCATAACTTAACCTCTCTGTACCTCAGTTTCTCATGAAATGAGGAAAATGCAACAGTATCTATACCAAAAGGTTTTTTGAAGATTAAACCAGTGAGTATTTCTAAAGCATTCGGAATAGGGTTTGGCATCCTGTAAGCACTACTAGGCGGAGGTTTAGACAGAATTAGACTAAATCATTGTTTCTTAGATTTCTGAATTTCACAGATATTTTTAAATAGGTAGATTGATAGGTATGCCAATTTTTATTTTTATTTTAATTTTTTACAGAGAGGAAGAGAGAGGGATAGAGAGTTAGAAACATCGATGAGAGAGAATCATAGATCAGCTGCCTCTTGCACACCCCCTACTGGGGATGTGCCCGCAACCAAGGTACATGCCCTTGACTGGAATCGAACCTGGGACCTTTCAGTCCACAGGCTGACGCTCTATCCCCTGAGCCAAATCGGTTTCGGCAGATATGCCAATTTTTTATAATATTCCAACCAGGTCATAGACTGATACTATAAAAACAATTTAAACCAATTACTATAAAAACAATCATATGCTTCAATGTAGTAATAGTGATGTCAAATTGCTATAAAAGTTTCTAAAAGCTTATTCAATTTGTCACTAACCAGTAACAAACATTTCATGGACAAGCACTGGCCTATGGACCATACTTGAATAGAATTAATCTAGAATCTAAACTCTAAGTGATCTCTAAGGTCCATTTCTTAAGAATCTTGATCTGTCCTGCCTTGGTACTTTGATTTTCTTTCAGCTTCCTGAAGAACAAGTCTTCTGATTTTGGTTACACTTTTTAAAGTTTTTTGTTTTGTTGTATAAATATTAAGAGACCCAGTGCATGAATTCGTGCACAAGTGGGGTCCCTCAGCCTGGCCAGGGATCAAGGCCTATTAAGGGGACCAGCCAGTGGGAGGAAGGGCCATAGGAGGTTGGCTGGTGGGGGTAGGGGAGTGTCAGGGGATGGATGGAGGGGCTGCGGGAGGTTGGCTTGCTGGCAGGGGTGAGGAGGAGCTGCGGGAGGTTGGGGTTGGGGGGCTGGTCAAGGAGAGGCCATGGGAGGTTGGCTGTGGGAGCACACTGACCACCAGGGGCAGCTCCTGCATTGAGTGTCTGCCCCTTGGTGGTTGGGGCATGTCATAGCGACCAGGCATTCAGTCATTTGGTCACTTAGGCTTTTATTTATTTATATATATATATATGGCACATATATATTTTATATAGATATATAAATATATAGATATACAGATATATAGATATACAGATTATGTTCACAGTAGAACAGCTTGAAAATTATGAAAAGAGGAAAGTTAAGTCTTTTAACTCCAACACTAAGAGATCACCTTTAAATATGTGTGTGTGTGTGTGTGTGTGTTTAGACAATGTTGCTTGGTTGTCTACAATGCAATACAACTTCTTTATTTCCTGTAACTCTTAATCTTCCCCAGAAGCCTCAATTCCTCCCCACCCCCAATTTTGGTAAATATTCAGGCAATTCAAAGTTCAACTTTCTAGTAAAATTGTTTCCCCCTTTTTCTTCCTTCCCAAAATTGTGCCGAGGCAAATGTTTACAAAAATTTCCAGATGAGAGGGAAATGTATAGTTAGAGAGGTTTTTGCATAAGATGCTGAACTAGACTTGGAGCTGACAGATTGGTACAGTTGTATACATGGATAGTATCTGCTGACCATTGATCTTACTACTGCCTTAATCACTGAATCTCATCCCCCAACAACACCCCCAAATAGCTCCCAGTTCCTAACTCCAAGGTCTCT